GAGAGTCGGAGTCTCCACACTCACCGAGTATGTATTGAGCGCTGAGTACTTTGTATTTATGCAACAAGTGCAGCACCTAGCTCCGTGCAAAACAAACAAAGCCTATGGAGCCATTAACTTGCTCCAGATACGGAGTGGTGGGGTGAGCTTCGAAGCCCAGACTCTATCCTGTTCTGTCTACAGTACCAAAGCTCCTAACTGGCCGCCACCCTGCAAGTGATCTCTGCATGCCTGTAATCCCACCACTCTGGGAGGCTGAGGCAGGAAGGTCCAAGTCTGAGCCCAGCCTGGGGAATTAATCCATTTAGCCAGGCCATCTCAAAATAAAGATAAAAACAGGGCTGAGGTTAAAAATTTGAACACCGAAAGACAATATCGCAAAGAGGGTATGTAGCCGGCAAATGCACGCATGAAAAAACATTCAACTTCGTTAATCATTACTTGTAAGGGAAATGATGACTGAGATAGCGTTATACAGGATTAAGAATACCTGAATGGGAAAGACTGGTGATGCCAAGCGTTAGCCGGGAAGCAGAGCCACACCAACTCCCCCAGGCCGCTGGCGGGCATGCGCATTGCTACGGCCACGCCGGTAAGCAGTTTGGATCAACTTCTAAGTTACCCACATTCTCTATGACCCAGAGATTCTGCTTCTCGGTAGACACCTAGGAACTCTCTGATATTCATAGCAGCCTTATTTGTTAGATGCATGATCCAGAAACATCGCGGATGCCCATTAACAACAGAATATAGGGGCTGGGGATTTAGTTCCGCGGCACAGCGCCTGCCTGGCGAGTGTAAGGTCGTGAGTTCGATTCTCGGTACCAGGAAAAAAAAAAAAAATTAAGTCATTTAAACAACAGAATATATAAATACATTGAAGTTTAGGTCATCATCGGATGGGGGTCTGAAGAGGTACCCCAAAAGGAGAGGGTGACTTCAGCTCACTTTGGGTGGGTTCCTGATTTATTGTTTCAGAAAAGCCTTACAGAAGGCAGTGAGATACAGGTAGATGGATGCAACTGCGTCCATACTCATAAATGAAATAAATCAGACGCACATGTGTAAACATCGTACTGTCGCCCTCGTGTGAGAAGCTGAAAGGGTAAATAAGATCTAAAATGTACAATAGATATTGTGAAGTGGGAAGAAACTGTTCAAAAGGAAAGACAAACTGGGAAGGGGAAAGAAGAAAAGAAGGAAGGGAAAAGCAAAATATATAAGATAGTTAATACAGTTATACTACTAATTGCTCTCAGTTCATTGAAAAGCAGGTTTGTGCTAATATTGTTTGGACAATTGAATGCCGATATCTTGTAGTACTCTGAGTAATTTAAAGATAATAATATGCAATGTATTAATCATAGTTATTCTCCTATTATCATGTTTTGAAATTTTGTTTTTTTTTTTCTCTTTAAAATAAAATTTAGCCAGGCGTGGTGGGGCACAGCTGTAATCCCAGCACTCGGGAGGCTGAGTCAGGAGGATCTTTGCGAGTTTGAGACCAGCCTGAGCTACAAAATGAGCTCAAGCCCAGCCTGAACTGCATAGCAAGACCCTGTCTCAAAAAGACAAATAAATAAATAAATAAATGTTTAAAATTTAAATTAAATTTAAAAAAAATCAATTGATCATAAACATTTAGGTTTATTTATACAATCTGTTTTCTTCATTTATTCGTCTGCATTGAAGGCAATACAACAATAATCAACTGTGTTGATTACTTTTGTTTGTGTGTTTTTCTTCCAGTACCAGGAATCGAACTCATGACCTTGCGCTTGCCAGGCAGGCGCTGTGCCACTGAGCTAAATCCCCAGCCCCTGTGTTGATTATTATAAACATATATTAGTTCTGGAAATAATGTCATGTTAGTCTTCCAAAGTTTTTCTTCCTTTTCAGAATTATTTTAATGATTTTAGGTCTTTTGGCATTTCATATCAATTTTAGAAAACCCTGCCAATTAAAAAAACCTGGAATTTTCATTAAAATCAGATTATTAAATCAGCTTTTGGAAAATTTTTTTTTGTTTTTGTCTGTTTGAGACAGGGTCTGGATATGCTGTTCAGACTGGCCTTGAGCTCACTTTATAGCCTAGGTTGGTCTCGAACTCACAATGATCCTCCTGCCTCAGCCTCCTAAGTGCTGGGATTACAGGCGTGTGCCACTACACCCAGCAGAAAATTGTTATCTTCAAGTGTTTCACTTTAAAATGTATTTCTTGAGATCTTCAATTTCTCTGTAATGTTTTCTAGTTTTCTATATATAGGTCTTGTAAATTTTGGGGTGAGATTTCATCTTTCATATTTTAATAATCTTGTAAACAATGTGTTTTATTTCTATTTGTCAACATGAAGTAGAAATACAATTGCTTTTCTTTCTTTTTTTTTTTTTTTTTTTAATCTTTTTGAAGCAGGGTCTCGCTATGTAGTTCAGGCTGGCCTTGAGCTTACTTTGTAGCCCAGGCTGGTCTCAAACTTGCAACATTCTTCCTGCCTCAGCTTCCCTCCCGAATGCTGGGATTACAGATGTGCACCACCACGCCCTGCTACAAGTGCTTTTCAATAAACATTTATTTTGGAAAAAAAAAAAAAAAAGAAGGCAGTGAGAGGCATAGGCAGTTTTTATAGGCAGACTCAAAAAAGTGCACCCCCAAAGGGAAAGAGTACAGGCCCTGGAGGGGTGAGGTGAGGTTGTGCCTAGGGTCAGGTATGTCCTCTAGAGGTCTGGGATGTTTCTCTTTTGAGTTATTTATTGTTTACCTGGTGTCTGACAGAGTACCCATTATTGGGCAAAAGTTAACTATCAGCGAGGTTAAAATACAAACTGTATGATGTGTTTGAAGTTCAGACATACCTTACCCAAGTAACACTGCTGTGTCTTTGAGAATGGAAGTCTTTGCAGTCTGTGGGTTTATACTATGGGAAGAAAAACTCAGGCCCAATTTACAGACATACAGCGTCTTTAAGACTCTTCGGAATTCAGAAGAAGCCAGCCCAGAAGAAACCAGGCCTGGGGTGAGAAGGCACTGTGACCCTGGGTAACTCTGATTACGTCTGGAAGCCGCAGTTTCCTACAGCCTTCTCAAAAGTACAGTTTCATCAAAATTACAACTTCCCGGTCTCCTTTCTGCCTAGCTCTATTTTTTCTACCTTATCTCAAGATGTTCATGCCCAGAACACAGCACCACACAGAACAATAAAAAATGGCCATTGCACACACGTGGATATATTTCACAAGTGTAGTTAAGCAAAAGGAACCATGCACCAAAGAATGCACATTTTAAGGCTGTAAATTTACATAATCTATCTCATCCTCCTTTAGGAGGGAGAACATCAGGATGACAGATTTACAGGAACCAAATACCAGCGTGCACCTAGCAGTCTCCAGCCCACTGGCCTAAACCACTTCGGATTCCAGCAGAGTCCCGCAAAACTGAGATTGCCCCAAGTAGAAATATGGAGACCACACTGCTCCCTCAAGCAGTAAGGACTTTTCCAGAGCCATCTTGCAAAATCAAACTAAGAGAGTGATGCATCAGACCCTAGCCCGGGTCTCTCTATACAGTTCAGGCTGGCCTTGAGCTCACTTTGAAGCCCAGGCTGGTCTGGAACTCGCAGCGATCCTCCTGCCTCAGCCTCCTGAGTGCTGGGATTACAGGCGTGCGCCACCAAGCCCGGCTCCTTCCCACTTTTTCTAACTCTGCTTGGTATGTCAGTCTATGTTGAGTCTCCGTTTTCACATCTGAAAAATGGGGGTATAAGATTGTTTTGCAGAGTGAAAGAGGTTTTTTATTTGTATTTTTTTAGTGCAGGCTCTGGGTAAATCGTACAGCTCCCTACAAAGTTTCCTTATTAGAATCACTCTAGTGCTTTTCTTCTTGTTTCTCCACTTTCATCCCCGTCCAATTGTGGGACTGCTCCCAACTGAGTGCCAGAACTTCCGTCCACGCCGGGGGTGGTGGTGCACGCCTATAAACCTAGCACTGGAGAGGCTGAGACAGGAGGATCGCCACGAGTTCGGGGTCAGTCTTGGCTACGTAGTGAGTTCAAGTCAGCCTGAACCACACAATGAGACACTGCCTCAAAAAAAAAAAAAAAAAAATCCGTCCAATCAGAGTGAAGATTTGTGTTCCCGCCTTCCGTACCTAAACGAGCCAATCGGGTCAACCGGAGAGCGGCAGACTCGACTTTTAGAAATAGCTTGTAATGAATCTTGCATTTTCCTCTCTCCTGGCGCTCAGCTTTTTCTAGGCTCACACCTCAGCTTCCCGGCCTTGGGAGAAGGCTCCATACTATTCTTGTCCCAGTTTCCCGCATTGACTCCTGGACTCCAAAGGGTTGATCGGCGGGGACCGGAAGTGTGCACTGTAGTGCCGGATCCCCCGCGAACCACCGCCGGAAGTAGCTGCTGCTAGAGGAGGGTTCCGCCGGCTTGGTCATGGCGGCGATTCCCCCCGACTCCTGGCAGCCGCCCAACGTTTTCCTGGAGACCAGGTGAGGGGGTCGGACGTGTGGGGCTGGACTGGCGGGGGCGGCGCGGGGCCCGGGATTTGCCCGGCCTCGCTTTGGCGCTCTGCCCCTCGGAGCCCGTGTCCACGTGCACGGGCAGTCCGGGGCCCGGGGGCGCGGAGGGCACCGCGCGGGATCCGGCGAGACCACTGTCGCGGTCGTCCTCGTCGCCCACGTCCTTCACTTATTCACTCAACAAACGTGCAGTGCGTGAGTTGACCGCCACGCACGGGGGTCTGAAATCTGAGGATGCAGCGGTGGATAAAACACACAGCTCTGCCTCTGGGGAGACATACGCAAATAGGACAGTTGTTATCACAAATCGCTATGAAATTACAAGAAAAAATCACCGAAGAGTCATGCGATGCGATATAATTAAGGGCCGGCTTGCAAGGGCCGTGCCTCTCACCTGGGCCATCACTTAGTTTAATCCTTCTGGTGACTCGTGTCAGAAAGTTTTAGCTGGGACGTTAAATGGCGCGACCAAAGCTGCCTGGCTGGGGAGTGGAGGGAGCCGTTTGGAGCCTCGGCAGCCTGTCTCGCATGCAGGGTCTTCAGCCCCATTCTTCCTCTCGGCTCTTAAATTGGTCTTCTTAAGCAGGGCCGTGGGTCCTGCTCAAGAACCGTCAATGACTTGTTGCTGCTCTAACAGTATAATGTTAAGACTTTGTAGTTTGGCATTTAAAACAGCCTCCTTCTCTCTCTCTCTCTCTCTCTTTCTCTCTTGTTTCCTCCCTCCCTCTGTCCTATTTTGTTCTTTCCCTGCTGCTTTTCTTTTTTTTTTTGGTCTTTTTTTGAGACAGGGTCTCAGTATGTGGTTCAGGCTGGCCTTGAGCTCACTGT